AGAGAATTTTTCTATTTAATTAATGCGCTCTATCTGTCCATCTCCCCCCAGAGATAATCTGCGAATGATGAGATACTCTGTATACATAAATACTTTATTTTATATATTATATATAATATAAAAAATATATATATTTATGCATTATTACTTAAACTATATCAATTAAAATTACACGTAAAGGGGTTCCTGAGATGTTTTTAAAACAAATATCTTAGAATAGCTTGTTTCAAAAACATCATATAAATCGATGAATGATACAGAAGGTATCTAAAAGATGTCATATAAGGATATCTAATAATTTCATAAAGACATGTTCAAAATTTTAAGATTTCTCTTATTATTATTATTATACGGTTTTATTATAATATTCTCTGAATAATATAAAATTACTATACATTTATTTTATTTGAATATACTTATTTTGCTGATTATTAATATCTGGATTAGTTTTGAAAATCACAATTTTTTAATTTAGAAAATATATTTCTATCCATAATAAATACTTCTCTATTTTTAAAAAATTTATTATTTGAACGTAGTTGGTAGTTTCGCCATATTTGGTCTTAACGACACCAGCCAATCAGTAAGAAGTTAAGGATGACTGGACTTTTAATGCAGAAGTAACGCATCTATAAAAAAATAATCCTTGGCTGTTAAACTTGTGTGCATGGTGTGCAAACCTAACCTTATATCCGTTTTGCGGCTTTATATTTCTGTTATATTTTATGTAATAGAAGTGATAATAAATAATTAATGTTAAATATAAAAGTCATTAAAAAATATGGCCGGTTTGCATTTAATACAAACTTATTCTTCCGACTCGGACGAAGACGAGCACGATGAGACGAGGAAAGATGATCATAAAATTGTAAACAAGTACATAAATTACGTTATTCATTCTAGATTACAATTCTTTCTGAAATTTTTCTATTATTTTTTTATTAAAACGGAAAGCAATACTTGAAATAATTAGAAAGTTATAATTCTTAAGTTTGAGTTTGAGGTTATAAAAGGAAAAGCACTTTGTAAATAAACACAAGATAATAATATACTTCTTGATATAATTGTTAGTAGATAATTTAAGATTAATTATATGAGATATAATGTTAAAGTTCCGCATAATTTTTTTCTAAATATTGATACATGACGCAAGAACAAAAAATAATGTTGAATAAATTTATAGGTTAGCTTTACCTGCAAGTATTTTGTCATGGAAAGGAGTTACGTGTAATGAAGAAGTGATCGATGATCCACTGGATCATGATGGACGAATACGAAGCTTTAAACATGAGCGTGGTAATTGGGCAACTCTGATTTACATAAACTGTAAGTGTTTCAAATAATATTAATAGTATAAGTATTAATTTAAATCTTATAAATATAAACAAAATCAAAGAATCTTTGCTTAATATTGATATATTAAATAATCAATATAAAAATTAAGAAAAATATAACAAATAAGAAAAAATTTAAATTGGTTTCAGATACGCCCAGCGATTGTCTTCATACATGGATGAAGTCTGTGTTGAACAAACTGCCTGTTCAAGGCAACATCATTTCTAGTCTTCATATTAGTCTCAGCCGTACTTTAATTTTAAAGTTTCATTGGATTGAATCGTTCGTAGAAGGCATAAAGCTGGCGTGTCGTAGCTTTAATAAATTTATCATACAACTCACGGATGTAAGGGTGTATTGCAATGAGGAGAAAACTCGTACATTCCTTGGAATTTATTGTCAAGATGAGGATAAAATGTTGAAGTGCCTAACAGAAATTTTTGATAATTTATTAGCTGAATATCAATTACCATCATTTTATAAGGTACATGATACAATTAACACTTCTTTTTTGCATTTTTGTTACATGTATTATACATATAATATGAAATAAGTAACAGATTTTATAATTTGCATTTATGTCTTCTTTCACTGTAGTCATGTTATATGATTACGTCAGAAACAAGATATTTTAGGCCTATTCTTTTTATAGCAGAACTTCATCTTCCTTCTTTTTTTCTCCAACATGAAGAGAAAAAATGAATAATGCAAGAAGTTTAGTTAAAAAGAACAGACCCCGTATGAATCATAACTTAAAATGACTACAACGAGAGATCAGAAGATTTAAATTAATTTGATGTATTTTTCTTATATACAGGATACTTCATACCACATAAGTTTCTTCTGGTGCCTCGGAGACAAGCAAGCATGTTTAAAAGAAATTCTGCCACCTCTCACTAGCAGTCTAAACAAATTTTTAGCAGAAAACATGGAAGATGCTTATGTGCATGTCAATGATATACAATGCAAAATTGGAAATAAATGTTATACCTTTAAATTGAAATAACAAAATTTATAAATAAGGGTATAAAATCTAGGGAATTATACATCTGTTTATTATAAAAAAGCAAAACTATTACTTGATTGCTTCTCTGAATTGATTGAACCTATTGATTTTTTACAGAACTTTAAAAATAATAAGAGATAATAATTTATAAATTGTAATTGACGCAAGAACAAAAAATAATGTTGAATAAATTTATAGGTTAGCTTTACCTGCAAGTATTTTGTCATGGAAAGGAGTTACGTGTAATGAAGAAGTGATCGATGATCCACTGGATCATGATGGACGAATACGAAGCTTTAAACATGAGCGTGGTAATTGGGCAACTCTGATTTACATAAACTGTAAGTGTTTCAAATAATATTAATAGTATAAGTATTAATTTAAATCTTATAAATATAAACAAAATCAAAGAATCTTTGCTTAATATTGATATATTAAATAATCAATATAAAAATTAAGAAAAATATAACAAATAAGAAAAAATTTAAATTGGTTTCAGATACGCCCAGCGATTGTCTTCATACATGGATGAAGTCTGTGTTAAACAAACTGCCTGTTCAAGGCAACATCATTTCTAGTCTTCATATTAGTCTCAGCCGTACTTTAATTTTAAAGTTTCATTGGATTGAATCGTTCGTAGAAGGCATAAAGCTGGCGTGTCGTAGCTTTAATAAATTTATCATACAACTCACGGATGTAAGGGTGTATTGCAATGAGGAGAAAACTCGTACATTCCTTGGAATTTATTGTCAAGATGAGGATAAAATGTTGAAGTGCCTAACAGAAATTTTTGATAATTTATTAGCTGAATATCAATTACCATCATTTTATAAGGTACATGATACAATTAACACTTCTTTTTTGCATTTTTGTTACATGTATTATACATATAATATGAAATAAGTAACAGATTTTATAATTTGCATTTATGTCTTCTTTCACTGTAGTCATGTTATATGATTACGTCAGAAACAAGATATTTTAGGCCTATTCTTTTTATAGCAGAACTTCATCTTCCTTCTTTTTTTCTCCAACATGAAGAGAAAAAATGAATAATGCAAGAAGTTTAGTTAAAAAGAACAGACCCCGTATGAATCATAACTTAAAATGACTACAACGAGAGATCAGAAGATTTAAATTAATTTGATGTATTTTTCTTATATACAGGATACTTCATACCACATAAGTTTCTTTTGGTGCCTCGGAGACAAGCAAGCATGTTTAAAAGAAATTCTGCCACCTCTCACTAGCAGTCTAAACAAATTTTTAGCAGAAAACATGGAAGATGCTTATGTGCATGTCAATGATATACAATGCAAAATTGGAAATAAATGTTATACCTTTAAATTGAAATAACAAAATTTATAAATAAGGGTATAAAATCTAGGGAATTATACATCTGTTTATTATAAAAAAGCAAAACTATTACTTGATTGCTTCTCTGAATTGATTGAACCTATTGATTTTTTACAGAACTTTAAAAATAATAAGAGATAATAATTTATAAATTGTAATAGTATTGCTTTTATAAAATACGTATTGTATTATAAAATATAAATTTGTTTTAGAAGTATATCTACACATAATTGTAAGATATTTTTATTAAATAAATTTTTTGTATCAAAATTATATATATATATATACAAAATATTTTTTACAGAAAGTCATACTGGTTTAAAAATCGCCAAGTTATGAGGCAATTTCGTTACAATACCTGCACCTCGCCACAATTTAATCCAAGAATCACATAAATTTGGCTCTATGCTAGCCAGTAACGTACAAACTTCAGGATTTTGTATAAATAATCCTGCCTCTGGATTACTGACAATATTTTTACAACCACTGACATCAATATAAGTTAACGTAGGCTGATGACTTAACAATGAGTTTATGGAGAACACAGACACATTTATATTCCCACGAAGTATTAATTTTAATAGTCTAGGCAATTGCGTTAAGATGATCTTTACATCAACATCTAATACGTCACAGAATGAAAGATCCAATGACTCTAAGCTCGGCGCCAGAGCAACACTCATCGTATCCAGACTTAAGATGAAACGGTTGGAAGATAGAATATTAGACAAATTCAAATCAAACAGTTGCTTACTCAAGAAAGAAGTAGTTGCATCGTGATTTAATTTATTCCACGAAATATCGCAGCTTGTTAGATTGGGATTGTCAAATGGAAGATAAAAGTTTTCCAACATACAGTAACGTAAATTAAGAGTTTGCAAGTATCTCAAGGGCGCAATTAGCTTCCGCAGGGTCTCACGGCTCTCGGAACTCAACGGATTATAACTCAGATCTAAGACTCTTAATTGAGAAGGCAACAAGTTTACTTGGCGTAAACAGGCGAAGTCAATATCACAGCCTTTTAAATAGAGTTCCTGTAGAGACGACATATTCGAGAGACATTGATGTAAATGTATTCCCGCTGTTAGCAATACAGTGCCCGACAATTGTAACAGTTTAATACTCTTTTCGTATTCTAAGGTCTTTAATAATGGCACAAGTACTTGTTTATTGATATCGTCAGGTTTTACACGAAATATCGACGTATTCTCGCAGGATCTCAGGCACTTTAGCACAATTTCGCAGGGCGTCAGATTGTGAGTACAACAGATTGTCTTGAATCGCTCGATGATGGATGGAACCTGCAGTTCGACTACTTCACACTCCAATTTATCATTCGCATTTTCTCTCGTGATTCTCAGAATACTCTCTTTCGTCACGACAGTCCCATTTATGGGTTGAAACGACAGTTTAACAGTACAACCAGTTTCATCGTAGAACATGCGTTCGGTAGTACTTGCAATGTACATCAGGAACTCTTGCTCGTCTTCGCAAACTGCTACTTTTAGATTGAACACCTTATCTTTGACAAACGTACGTAAATGTACGTACTCTTTGTCGTGCTGTTTCGAACTTATTGTTGGAGGGGACGATTGCAAATGAGCCACTGGAGACGGTGTACGACTGCGAGACATGGTGAATCCACTTGAGATCAAGGATATCTGTCGTTTTTTCTTACGTTTCTTAGGTTCTTCAAATAATTCAACAATGTCAGAGAAATCATCATCGCTGCCTTCGCTTGTACTGAAACCATTCTTACTTTGATATGAACCATTCAATCTCAACTTTTTAGTAGCGTTCTCCAGATTTCCGTCGGAAGACTTTCGTTTGATTGTGGTAGAGTGATTGTTCGTAGATTTTTTCCTCGCTGCACCTCCGATATCGTCTTCAAGCCAATCGTCGACAAGAATTTGTTCTTCGTTAATTAAAGGCGTAACCGCCTTAGTTACTGCTTCATTATTGCCTTTAGATGCACTGACAGTGTTAGTTTTATTGAAAGTCCGCAAGCTCGCTATTGTTCTCTTATAATCCTCACCGGCGGATATTTTTCGAACCTCGGATGTCTCGGACGACGCAGATCTTTCGTCCGGAGTTCGAACATCATTAGATCTCTTCTTTTTCTTTTTCAATGGAATAACAGCCAAAAGTTTTTTATACATCGCGTCGTATTCGACTAAATCCTCGGGACTTAAATCTTCCACGCGATCTCTCCAGTCTTCCAAACAATCCAGCACAGTATCACCGTCGTGGGTCTTGAGCGTCACGGTTGCTCCGTGTTGTATCAAGAGGTGCATCATCGAGAAATGTCCGCAACATGCAGCGTCGTGAAGCGGCGTCACACCTTTACAGGACGTACCGCCTAGATCATTGACATTAGCATCGTGCTTCAGAAGCAGTTCCGCGATGTCTACGTAACCGTGATTAGCAGCTTCGTGAAGCGGGGACCATCCATAGTTATCTCTGACATTTGTGCAATGACCGGATGACAAGAGCCTCTCAACGGCACCGATGTCACCGTTGATACATGCCACGTGGAGCTGTGTTTCACCCTTCTCATTCCTCTTGATTGCAGTTGACGTTCCTCTCCTCGACCTTCTTTTGGTACCAACTGGCTTTGTACTGGCACTCTCTTCGGGTTCTAGATCAGACAGATCCTCCAGACAAATGTCTGCACCGATTCTGTCGCTTTCCTCGGACGCTTCACTCTCTGTATCGCTCAGTGCTTCCAAAAACGTTAATCCTACTTTCTGCTTTATACACTCTGCCTCATCGAACTGGCCTACGCTTTCCAGATAACTGACGAGTTCTCTTGTGACAAACTTTTGTAGCTTAACGTTACCGCTTTCGTTCGCTGCGCTCAACGCTGAAGTGTAACATTCCCGTATTTCCACATCAGCGGCATTCGCCATTATTAATAAATCCGCTAGAAATAACGCCGACCTGTATTTTTCTCGAGGATTGGTGCAAAGGTCCAATTCCCTTCGCGCGAATGGCAACGCTTCTTTGTAACGTCCTGCATCTTTGAGCGTTTGAGCCAGGCTCATTAAAGAAATACCTATCTGTTCACCAATTTCCTCCGCGCAAGTCAACATTTGCCGATAATATTCTGCACCTTTGTCAAAGCATTGCGCGGCGACTGCCGCATCGCCTAAGGTCTCATACAACTTCTGTTTAACTCGAGTATCAGTCTCGACAAGAAGACTATTTTCCGCTCGACAAATCGTTACAATAATTCTTAAATACTTCTCCACCTGATGATTAATGTCTTTTGGCAATCCAGTACTCGTATATAGGGAAACTAATACTTTACGCGTTTTAATCCACTGTCCAGTTCGCATTAACAGTTCAGTCTTTATTATTTTCGCTTCGGCTTTCAAGCGTCCATCATTTACAGTGGCTGCAGTTTCGATATAACTTAATGCCAGCTCAAAATTGCTCTGCCGCTCGTATATAGCCGCTAAAGAAATACACGTTCGATGCAGGTCTTCCTGAAAATTATTGAATTCACATAATGAAGTCGCTTGCTCGATTAGACTAATCGCCTGTTGCGTTTCTTTCTGCGCTTCCAGCGTTAAACCCAAGTTAAGTAGCAATCTCGCTTGCATCAGCGTCTTCTCTTCCACCTTGATCTCAGTGGCTGTTAATTTGTCGCACAGCTCCATACTTTGCAC